CCTAACCCTAACCCTAACCCAGAATGAAACTAAAGTATCAGCAGAGATCGAGGCCTCCAGGGTTAGGGTTAACCCTAACCCTAACCCTAACCCTAACCCGGTCCAGGGTTCAGGGAAAGGTTTCCTGCTTAGGGAAGTGAATCTGGAATGTTCTGTGCTGTATTCTGCTGTATTTAATGTAAAATAAAGGGAATCCACAGAATCAGACTTTTTGTCAATCGCCTTTCAATTGAGCAAAAACATCCACTAACCCTAACCCTAACCCTAACCCTAACCCTGACCCTAACCCTAACCCTAACTCTAACCCTGACCCTAACCCTAACCCTAACTCTAACCCTGACCCTAACCCTGACCCTAACCCTAACCCACTCTGTGGCCGGTGGGCACTAACCCTAACCCTAACCCTAACCCTGAAACCTGCAGCCCATGTGTCCCTGTGTTGTTATTCTGTCCTAGGGCTGAACACATGGCTCATAATCCGCTGAAGAAATGACAGAAAATCCTTTTCTCTCTGTGTCCGCCTCCCTTTCTATTCCTCTATTTCTATTAAGGTCACATCTCTCCTCATGTGACCTTAATAATCTAAATAATCTCCCCGTGTGACTGCGTGGCGGAGGAGAGATACAGTGGGGGAAATAAGTGTTTGACCCCTTGCTGATTTTGCAGGTTTGCCCACTTACAAAGAATGCAACGATCTATAACTTTAATCATATGTACATTCTAACAGTGAGAGACAGAATCCCAAAGAAAATTCCAGAAAATCACATCATATGAATTTATAAAAATTGATAACCATCTGATGAGGAAAAATAAGCATTCTTTGTAAGTGGGCAAACCTGCAAAATCAGCAAGGGCTCAAATACTAATTTCCCCCACTGCGTGTGGGTGAGCAGGGAGCCGGATCCTAACAGGAAGATAAAGGAGGATGTGTGGGATTCCATCACAGAGCATTTCACCTTAACGTTTCCACTAATTCCCGTTCGCTGCCCATTGGTCTGTAAGCTACAAGCCAGATATGCTCTGTTAGTCCAGGCAAAATAAAGCAGATATTAGCAAATACAGTGGGGGAAATAAGTATTTGAGCCCTTGCTGATTTTGCAGGTTTGCCCACTTACAAAGAATGCTTATTTTTCCTCATCAGATGGTTATCAATTTTTATAAATTCATATGATGTGATTTTCTGGAATTTTCTTTGGGATTCTGTCTTTCACTGTTAGAATGTACATATACTCCTGCTAGCCATTAAGACCAAGAATTTTGGTTTTGTGTAGAGGTTCAACAACAAAAACGACAAAAGTTTGAAAAAAAGGAAAAAAAGAACATGTTTACTGTTGTGTAATATTTACCTAGCTCCATTTTTGTAGATGGAGCTAGGTAAATATCCCCCCCCCCCCTAACAGCCAATGGTTCTCCAGGTGACCGCACTCTTCTTTTTAAAAAATCATTTCTTGTCAGGTAGGTGGTTCTTTAGGGAGGACTCAGGTGCGGAGATGACGGAAAACATGGTTTATCGTAACAAAAAGGTGGAAGTCCAGACATGGTACAAATCAAGGCTGTGGAAAACTGTGAGCAAAGTATCAAAGCAACAAGTAAACAAGACTGTGGTAAAGTAACAAAATAAAGATTAACAAAACTGTGACAAGGCTGTGGTAAAACAATGATAATGGCAAAGTAACAAAATAAAGATTAACAAAGCTGTGACAAGGCTGTGACTATGACAAAAAGCAAACCTGGCCTGGGGGTGATGAAAGACGAAACCAGAAGGACAAAACGGACAAAAACGCTCTCGCAGAAGACAAAGGGAAACAGGACTATTTAACACATGAGGGAGGGGAACCCCAGGTGAACACAATAGGTAATCAAGACATGACAACACACCAGAAACTCCCCCAGACGGGACAATTCCTGTTTTATTTTTTTTATTTTTGGCTCAGAGCTGAGCGGGGCAATCAATACTATTCATGTGAACATCATAAAACCCTTTTTTAAAGTTCCCTGCACAGGTTTTCCACCCAGCTCTTCTGTGATTGGTGGTAATATGACAGTGGGGGGGGGGGG